TTGAACAGCTGTCAGATTGTATCACTATCAGCATGTCACAGTTTGATTTAAATGATTTCAAGCATCCATCATTCTACACGCAACTACGTGTCACCTGACTGCAACCAGACAATTTCTTCTAAATGATTAATGTATTAAATGTATCATGCACTGCACCTGTTCCAACTGATTGGAAATATTTTTCATTAGCCATTGAACAGCTGTCAGATTGTATCACTATCAGCATGTCACAGTTTGATTTAAATGATTTCAAGCATACATCATTCTACACACAACTACGTGTCACCTGACTGCAACCAGACAATTTCTTCTAAATGATTAATGTATTAAATGTATCATTCCAGGCGCCATGCAAAGCATCAAAATAACATAGATTCATGTTTTGCCATTACAACTTTATTGTGATTTAGAATGTGTCTGCACACTCATAAAACGAACATAACCCTGTGACCTTGAATATAAATAAAGATCACTTGTTGTCAAGATTGTTTGGCTTTGTCATAGGAACATACCAGCCAAATATCATGCCTCTAGATTTTTAAGTTCATGAGAAGAAGACAATTAAATGGATTAAAAAAAAAATCTTTCCCCTGTGACCTTGAAAAGAGGTCAAGGTCATTTCTTTTTCCAAACTTTGTCAGACTTCATTCTAGGAATATGCCAGCCAAACATCATGTCTCAAGGCTTTTTTCAGTGCATGAGGAAAAGTCTTTTAAACGGTTTCACAAATCTGACCCCTGTGATTTCCAATCCAGGTCAAGGACATTTATTTTCGAAAATTAAGAACATACTACCCTAACATTTCTAAAAATTTGGTCAATCGGTTATTGAGAAGAAGTTGTTTAATGGAAAAAGTTGATGCTGGAGGAAACGCCACTGCATAAGCTCACTTGGCCCTTTCCCAAACCTGGCAATTATGTTTTCATCCCGATAAATGTAAAATTATCATAGGAAAACATATGGTCAAATTCAACTACAAGCTGAAAAAAAAGATTCACAGTCATTAATATTTGTGGACTCGGAAAAGGATATCAGTGTTACTATTGATGATAAATTAACGTTTCATAAACATATATGTGATAAGGTTAATAAAGTGAATTCAGTCATGGGAGTAATAGGAATATGCTGTCCAAGTCTGGAGCCCTCATTTGGAAAAACAGGTGGCGATCAAAAATTTCCAATGCCGGGCAACCAAGCAGGTACCAGGCCTTTCATCATTATCTTACACAGATCGTCTACGAATACTACAGTTACCAACATTAGCATACAGAAGATCACATGGTGATATGATAGAGGTGTTTAAAATAATTTCCAGGAAATATGACTGTACATATTTTCTGTACCTTGTCAGAATAAATCTATGTATCTATGTATCCATGTTATGTAATAGGTATGAGGTAAGGATATATACTACACAGTGACATCCTTCTTTCCAAAAGAGCATAATACACCTTCCATCTTTTTCAGCATTTTTTGTAAAAAGTGAGAATACATTTGAAATATTGTAAATTGGGGATGAAGAGTTTCTTGATTCTGGCTGCCTTGAAAACAAATACTGCTTGGGGAAAAATGCAGGTCAGATTGAACACTACAAAAAAAACGAAAATGTTTCAAAGGGGAAAAAGATAACGGATAAAAATTTCCAGTCTACAGAATAAAACATAAGAATGTGATTCTTGAAGAGATCAAATAATAATTGAAAACTTAATGTGATTTTCTTATGAATATCTGTGGGAAAATGACATGTCATAGGATTTTAATTGCATAACAAGATTAATAAAGTATAAATGTTGCGTAAATCACTTCAGCAAATGCTATGTCGACACCTGCTGATCAACCTATAAATCAGCTATTCAAAATAATCAAAACTTTTCCAGGAAAAAAAAAAACAAAAAAAAAAAAAAAAAAAAAAAAAAAAAAAACAAACAAAAGGCCCATGGGCTTTAATAGTCTTCTGACTATAAATACCTACAAGTGAAACCAAACTCATCTACTCTACTTTACAAAGAAGACATTGTTGGTTCATAAAAACATTTTCTGCAAACCTGAAACCCTTTTCCTACTTCATGCTAATACACAAATACTATGACCCTGAACCTATTGCTTGTTGAAAAAAGAATTTTCAATATCTAAACAGATTTGACTCCAGACACCATGAAAGTAGGTCAAGGTCAAACATTTGAATAAATTTGCTAGCCTTTCATCCAATTATGTTAAAGAGCCAATATCAAAAGCCTTGACCTTTGTTTATTCAGAAAGAAGTAATTTTCAAGATTTTAAACCATTTTGACCTCTGTGGCTTTTAAAATGTGTCAAGGTCAGTCATATGAACAAACTTGGTACCCCTTTATCCAAACATGCTATAGACCCTTTATCAGTATCTTGGGCCATTCAGTTATTGAGAAGTCATTTACAGATCTTAACATATTTGATCCCTGTGACCTTTAATAAGAGTCAAAGTCAGTTATAATCACAAATTGGTACCCTTTCATCCTAGCATGATACAGGCATAAATACTTCATTACATTTAACCCCTGTGACCTTGAAAGACAGTCAAGGTAATTTATTTGAACTAATGCAGTAGCCTTTCATCACAGCATGCTACAGGCCAAATATTAACACCATGTGCATTTACGCTATGAAGAAAATGCCAAAAAAGTTTTTAAGACATTTAATCCCTGCAATCTTGAAAGTGGATAATGGTCATTTATTAAACCAATCTCAGTAGCCTTAGTTACTTTTAGAAAAAAAAAAAAGAAAAGAAAAAAAAAATTGAGCACCACATATTTTACAGCATATGTGAAACTGATAAAAATATATCCTGATACACTTGAGAAATGAAATTTGTTGGACGATAACTCACCTCCTTTCACAAATGATCAAATTGAAACTAAGAATTGTATAATATTATTCTTACTATCAGGAAATTGATACTTGAATTCAATTTAGAATTTCATGTTTTGTACAAAACAAGTACCGGCCAGAATCCATTTACATGTTATATATAAACTACTCTTAACTATGATTTGATGTAAACAATCTGTTTGATATCATCCAGAGCTATTACATGAAATATCAAGCCATGAAATATACATAAAATGGACAAATTTCACAAGACATTCAGCTTGGTATGAAGACAACCGCATATCAGATTTCAGAAATTCTATGCTAATAAGATAAACAGATCAACATCAAAGGTAGTCTTGCACATCACAATATGCATCACCTGACATTATTTCTATGAACCTGTATCGTATTTAGTTTGGCATTATGGCATGTAAACAAAATATCTCATTGATAATTGGAGGCCATATTATAACAAAATTAAACCTGTCTTTATCGGATATAAAGAAACAAATCCAACTAAAAACAGACATGATCTAGTATTCATGATACCAGGAAGATAACAATCTTCAGTGATGAATGAATCCTATTGACATTGCTTGGAAAAACTATGAAATGTTAACACCATAACTACATACATCATTATAATCTTGTCGTTCACTGGGCATTCTTTTTGCATATCTTAAGTTTCGAGAGGTATGTATGCTATGTATCTTTTCTATATCCATCAGTTTTACAGAATGGTAACAAAACATTGCAAACTGACACTGTTATTATGTTATTTTTACCATCGTTTGGTATTTCTTTGATGTAACCCTGATAATGTCATTTATGTATTGCCAGCTCATGAACTGCCCACGATAAAGGAATATTGCAAGTTAAATAAAACAAATTGAGGTTGCCTGCCCACTATAAGAAGATGAAAGTTGAAAATCATAAATATAGGCATGGAACTGTTTTAAGTTGGCATTCATAGAGGTATGAAAGCCAACTGCATAAAGAAGTATGAACTCATGAGCTTTTCAAATACAATGACTTCAGTAAGGTTACAATGCAGCATCAACATACAAAGATATACATTGTGGAATAATGTATTTCATTAATACTTAAAAAATTTTGAAAAAACACTAATGATTGTTGAATTAAAGACTCACATGCTTTTAGGTGCCAATAAATCATGAACAGTCCAATACCACACAGTATTCACACCATTTCATTATATTAACATTATCCTCAATTTGGCCTTACTAATGAAATAATGTTTACACTTCCATAAACGTCAAATCTGGCACATAGAAGCCAGACCACTGTACACTTGCATTAAAAATTCGAGTGAATCCACCGCTACATTTGCTCAAAATTTTTTAATTTTGTGAATTTATGTGAATCAAAGCAATATGTGAATGGAAATATCTAAAATATCTCACACAATGGTAATAAAATGATGATAGTATTGTGGAATCATTTTCTGTTTTACTTCCTGTAGTTGACAAACTTTCCTGCGAAATTAGAGTCAGCTGTTTTCCTATTCCATCAGTTGTCAGGCTGTTCTGTTAGTGCCTATAACGTCCAATTATGGAGCGCAATTAAAAACAAAAAAGTTTATAAAATACAAATGTAAGAAAAATGTTTAACATGCATCATGTTAACCAGGCATCAATTCTTACCCCTACATGAATTCTGTAATATCATCACTGATCAGAAACTCTGTCATTTCCATTTTCACTGCTCCAATATCTTGAACTCAACATTTCCCCTTAGCAGTACAAAAAAAGATGAATCATTTTTGTCTTCACAGTTTAAAATAATGGGGTTCCATATACCTACAATCAAGAGTTTCTTCCTATGCTCGATAAGGTTAACTAGAGCCTTCTCCATCTGGGTTCTGTAACTTTTTATGTTCCCTGCAAAAGTAGACATTATATTTGCTCTTTAACATATGTTGCTGATGAAATTAAAATTAACAGTTTGAAGATTCTTTATGTCAAATCTGTATCTAAGATTTTGAAAAATCTCAATTCTGGGTTTGATTTGTTTGCCGAGAAAAAGGAAAATAAAAACAGATTGAAAATTCCAAATTAACAATTCTCAAGACTTCCGAATGTCTGTAAAGGAGTATGCAAACTTTCAATTTTGTGTCAGATATCATAGCCCACCTTATATATTTTGGTTGGTGTTTCATGGTGGTGATCTCCGTTCCTTGTATTGAAACTTTCTTTTTCTTTATCACAGCACAATCATCAGGTAATGCCATGCTGAAATAACCAAAAGGATTCCAGAATCAACACAATTTCCCTATTGACAGATGTTTATACAACTACATCATGTTTTTCAAAAACTTTCAGTTTCAAATTCCAGATCAGAACCTTATTCATTAAGTTTTATTTATTAGTTTATTTTAACATGTTTTTATTTTGTGAAAAATAAGTAGCATACAAGCACCTTTGTGCATCTGGTTCATCCATTTGGTCAAACATTAGACGTTTCTGGCTACGAGGCGTCACACTTCCACTTCGAGCTCTCACCATGGTCTCGTTGATTCGCTGTAACTTCTCAGACGACTACAATCAGATGCATCATACATTACAAACTGACATGAATATCAAAACGAGACATAAAGTTAATGATTGGATACAGCAGCTTAAATTCAGCATGCAACACGCATCACCAAGAAAATAAAGTATATATAATATACCACAGAAGAATTAATTAAATCATGACTGCACTTACAAACCAACAGAGTGTAAAATCATAGACAATAACAAAACAAAATGAAGTCTGTCAACTCAGTTTTCATTCGGTAGTGGAATATTAGACAGAATTTGTTAACATCTTTGTTATCGGAGATTCCAATTAAAAATTCACAAAGAGTTTAAATTTATATCCAATTGATGCTAAATTGTTCCAAATTTAACTCATTGAAGAGCTGAGTTTTCACTGTTCATACCCTATTAATTGGGAAAATTCTACTGCTTGCTTCAATTAATAATGACTATTAAACCATTACGGCAAGGATATGTGGTGAAATTTTAATCAGTTATGTCAGAGAGCTTATTAATGATTGATGGAAAGAATTATGTTAGTGTGGTTTATTTAGTATATCCCCAATTTTTTTTGTTAATCCATCACTATTTGAAATAAACCAAGGTATGTTCAAATCCAAAATACCTATGTAATGTCATTATGAAGTTAAAGAAAAACAGGATATAGATACTCATATAAATCAACCTTCATAAAACTAACAGCTTCTTTAAAGTTTTCAAATCTAATGCTTATTTTTAATATCATAGGCTTAAGGATCCCATTATTACCCCAATCCTTTCTCCGAAGTTGTACAGCTGTCTGCTTCTAGGTGTCAGCTGGCTAGGCGAAGGTGGTGGTTTAAACGGAGAGTCTCGTAGTGGAGAAACATAGAAACCGCGTCTGCTGGAGACACTGGAATTTGATGTGAAAATAGTAAATGGCTGCTCAGAGGATCAGCATATCATCTAATCATAAGGTGAATACACAAGTGGATTTATCATTCTACTGGTCCTTACTGGTCTAAAGTTCAATTTCTAATACTTATTCAATGAACTAGAAAATGTCAACAATACATGAATTTTCTAAACAAACTAGAATCTGAATGGGTATAAAACTTGATGTTGTGAAAATACAGTTTACAGGAAGGCCACTTCACAATTAGAGACCTTCCAGTCCTACATGCTACTTATTAAATCATCTACAACTAACATATATTGTTTAACATTTTCTAAGATGGAAAATATTTTAAACAAGCTTACTGAGTATTGCTGAAGCAATATATGTTGCCTGTAAGTCACCACAAGCTGTAACATTGTAATAATTTAAAAACTTTATGAAAACAATAAGTAACCTCAACTAGTTAATGTGATGCTTTAAAAGTGTGTGAAGTTTGATGAGAATTCCTTAATAATGAAGCATCCACAGCATGACAAACTTTCACACATGTAGGGGCATATAGACGGAGAGAAAAATTAGACCCCACCCCCAGCCCCAGCCCCAACCACCCCTCCACTCCTAACACCAACCCAAACTGAAATTGCAACCCAAATCAGCACTGAACAGCTAAATATGAGACTTACTACAAGAAGATGAGTACAATATCAACAAGAGATCCCAGAGGGATCTTGGCGCCCACCATTTGAGGATCTGTTTTCAGTTCTTGAAGATTTGTTTATTTTTTTTTTTTTTTGTTACAGGTGTTGTAAATGTTCATGAACTGGTCTTCATTGAATGTACTCAATGATGGCACAAGATATTTTTATTAAGCACCTATAAGCAAATATCATTTGAAAAAGATCCCAAAGTATTATTAGATAGCAGTCAGTTACAGGTGGATAATGGACAATATGCTTGTGCTGTATTACTGTCGACATCCAAGATGGCTGCCTGTGGGCCACCTTGATTTCAAATCAGTCCAAAAAAGGTACAATGTACAACTAGGGACCAAGGGAAACCAATATCTATGAAATATCAGAAGGATCCATCCAGTACTTCCTCAGATATAGCAGTAACAAGATTTTACTCTCAAAATCCTGACAGGCAGCCATCTTGATTTCGGATCAGTCCAAAAAGTTATAATGCACAACTTGGAACCAAGGGGAACCTGCATATGAAATTTGAGAAAGATCCATCCAGTACTTTCCAAGAAATAGTGGTAACAAACTTTTACTTCCAAAATCCAAGATGGCTGCCTGTCAGCCATCTTGAATTCGAATCAGTCCAAAAAAGGTACAATGCACAACAAGAGACCAAGGGGAAACTGCATATGGAATTTGAGAAAGATCTATCCAGTACTTTCCAAGAAATAGTGGTAACAAACGTCCACTTCCAAAATCCAAGATGGCCACCTGTCGGCCATCTTGAATTCGAATCAGTCCAAAAAAGGTACAATGCACAACTAGGGACCAAGGGGAAACTGCATATGAAATTTAAGGCAGATCCATTCAGTACTTTCCAAGAAATAGTGGTAACAAACTTTTACTTCCAAAATCCAAGATGGCCACCTGTCGGCCATCTTGAATTCGAATCAGTCCAAAAAAGGTACAATGCACAACTAGGGACCAAGGGGAAACTGCATATGAAATTTGAGAAAGATCCATCCAGTACTTTCTCAGAAATAGTGGTAACAAACTTTTACTTCCAAAATCCAAGATGGCCACCTGTCGGCCATCTTGAATTCGAATCATCTAATAATAGATGGTGGGCTAAAAATACTGTGATTATAAATTTTAATGATATTTTTCCAACACTTACACATAGATTGGTGAATTTAATGGTGAGGATCCTACCACTGGTGATAATTGTGGTACCTGCAAAACAATTTTATTTTTCTTTAGTTGCGTATTATCAGTATTCTCTTCTCAGACTTAAGACACTCTCAATACAACACCATACTCAAATACTGTTAACAGGACCATAGCTTGAAATCAATAGAATTGCTGTTAGTCTCATCAATCATTTTCTCCTATTGAGTACCAGGTTGATAGGATTTGTTTCTGACATACTGTCATATAAAATAATTTACGGAATTTAAATTTGAAAAATCATTGGCCCTCAATGTCAGTCTAACCAAAATTCAGAATAGAATTAAATTAAAAAGTGACTTCTTCTTGTGAAATGAACAGCAAAACAGTATTAAATACTTTACAAAAACAGATAAACAGTAAGTCCAACCGAAGTATGGCAGATTGACAAGACAAGGGGTCCAATGGGCCTGCATTGCTCAACAGGTATTCAATGTTCATCAAAAACAAAATTGGTATTAATCACAAATACATTAGTACATACACCATTGACATTCAAAGTGGGGATATCTGATCAATTTTAAATGATTTCCACAACAAACAGCTCCTAACACTCAATTCTGAACAGTTACAGTTGTGACCATGAATTTTTTATTTTTCTTGAAATTTGTCCAGCTTCGACCTAGAAACATCCTTTCACCAAATCCTGCTTCACTGACTTTTGGTTTACCACAAGAAGTCTTTTACAGGCTTTGACAATTTGACACCTATGACCTTGATTATCGTTCAAGGTAATTTCTTTTTGCAACTTTGTCAGGCTTCATCCCCCAGACCTCACAGTCTATGACATGCTTTTGTGCCTTTTGGTTAGTCAGGAGAAATCATTTTAATGTTTAAACAAATTTGACCCTATGACTTTGAATAAGGTCAAGTTCTTTTCTTTTTTCACACTTAGTTGGGCTTCATCCCAGCAACCCACCAGCCAAATACCATCACATTTGATCTGTTAGTTATTGAGAAGAAGTCGTTTAAGTGGAAAAGATGACGCCGGAAAGACAACAGGCGGATGAACGACAGATGCTGCACCATGGTATAAGCCAATTTTGCCCTTCTGGTTGGATGTGCTTCCAATGAAATATCCATCCTTCCATTTTCGTTTGTTTGGAAGTAATAAAGATGAGTGTTTCCACTTACCGCTTGTCTTGAAACAAACTGCAGGATGAAAGACTTCATATTGTGCATAAATACTTTATTGTAGAAACCAATTATGGAATCGGACTTGTCACCTTCTATCAAAGCACTCTTGTATACCTGTAAAACATAAGTAAATCGTGGATCAGTGATTACAGGTAACAATCATCTGTATCATAAGGGTCTGACCAGTAAACCACTACACAAAGAAACACCCAGAACAAGGATATTCAAAGATAAGAACAAACATAAAAACCATTTCAAGAGATTATCATCTTGAATTACCAATCAAACCAAACTGAGTGTGTGTACAGCGATCATACTATTACTTATTTATCATGCCTCTCTGTATATCTTACAAACATCTGCCGTATTTTCGGGATTATAAGCTGCAAATTTTTTCCTTCTGAGTCCGGCATGTGGCTTATATATTGATGCCGCTTATATGTGGACAAAATGACCTGCCCACCATGTATCTGTGACTGAAACGGAGCATGTTGACCTTTTACATGTAACTGTATACAGTATGATTTGAAGATTGCAATAAAAAAATTGTTATTGTGGATTTAAATAATCATACCTTTTAATATCAAATAATATCTTCTTGACTCTCGCGCTTACTTCTCTGCATTGCATGAGCAAGAAGTTTACAGTAGTCATAGCACCCTTGGATCTATAGGTCAATGGGTGATAGTATAATTCTAGAATGACTGCTTGTTTACAATATGTATCCCATTTACAGGTGTACCTTACAAGAAGACATAATTTGGAAATATAAGAATTTTGTCAGCATACAAGGGTCATCATTACTATTTAACAGTACCGACACCAATGGAAAGATTGTTTAGTAAACAGTATGTAACATCAGGCCCTATGTCACAAATCTGTGAGGGCATCCAAGCCAAACAAGTTTGATATTTTCTATTTTCATGTATTTTTAATGATCAAAATTTTTTAAAACACATCAATAAAATAAAAGATTTTTTGTGCATAAATTATTTGCTAACTTTATTAAATGTTTGACTGACTATCTTGATAAACTACCTTTCTTTTTTTGTTATATTGACAAACTATGGTCAACTATATGGTTACTATATCGTAAGCAGGGGTGTGGATTATATTCCAGTGTAGCAAATATGTGGATCAAATCGAAAAAAGGGCCTGTTTCCAGTAATGTTAATTCTCCATAGGAGCCTGCCCCCGTATAATTTCTTATCTAGCTCAACTACTGTTTTTTTCTTTTCCGAAAAATAATTTTACACCTTTCCGACACCCAGTGAAAATGTATTTTTATAAAGTTGTCAATTTCAGCATCAAAGACATAAGTTTGTAAATAAAAGAAGGTTATCTTGTAATTCGCAACATAGTATAAATTTCTTTTGATAAATATTTCCAAAACATCGTGTTTATTCATAAAACATAAAAAAAAAATATTCTCGGATGAAAATGCACTTGCAGAGACACAATTATGAAAAAAAATGCCATAAATTTGCAATTTTCTCCCGTTATATAGTTTTGGATGCAAATTTCCATCAGAAAATCGGATAGAGCTTTACTTGTTTCATATGTGTACCAAAAATCAGCTAATTCCATGTGGTGGAACGTTCTCATATCGCCGCCTGAATGTGGTTGTAAATTGAAAGAAAAGGGGAAATGAGTAACAACCTTGTCTGAAACCCTATTATATAGCTTATTATATACAAACTTTTATATTGAATATCAGAGCGGATATTTTCATGACAGTTTTATGATGTGTAAAAAAAAAAAAAAAAAATAAAGTACTGTTTCCCCGTCTCGATCTTGATTACTTAAGAACCATTACGTGTGGAACGTATCAGATATCTCTGGCTCCTGGTTACATCGCCAAACATTTAAGTGATGACGGCGACTATGAGGTGTGGCTTTACCAGCACTCCCCAGACCTTCTCCGATGTCAAATACATTCTCGACACAAAAGCCAAACGAAATATAACGTTTGGATACAGTTCACCGTTTTACCCGATGTTGAGGCCCCAATAAAGGACTACTACTGCCAGTGCCCAGTTGGAGAGAGAACTATGGGAATGTGTGCGCACATCTCCAGTATCTTGTACTACCTTGGGTATTACAGGACGCTGGAAAACCCTCGACCATTACAACCACAGGTAAAGAAATTCAGACAAAACTTGAAATAGTTTTCCATGCGGCAACGGAGTGTATATGTCGAAAGTATGTTTGGGGCTCGATATGAAAGATCCCCGTTACCATGTGACTAACCAAACTTATAAATATAGGTATTATACAATCGCCCATACCTATGAACACTCCCGTAAATGCGAAAACCAACCAAAATCATAAGGAACACGTTTTGTTTGTTGTTCTGTCTATTTGTCAGCCAATGTCTTCAACCACGGGGACTTGCGAAGTAGCCATCTTGGATTTTTTTATGAAAAAGTGTTTCTCTCACTTTTTTCATATCTGTGTACATATTCTCAACATACCGAGCAAATACTCTCGTTTTTTTGTTAATTTTCTATAGAAAGTCGAAAATCGGCAATTCAACCATAGGCTAATTCAACCCAACATTTGAAAATGTTCAACCACTTACATTTTGTTGATTTTTCCTCTCATCAATAGCATAGTACTATTTAATAGGATAAAAATTGGTTTGCATCCAACGCCCATAAAAGGGTGTATTCTCTAAAAAACACAGTTTTTGTGTCTAAAATGTTATCATCGAAAACAGCATTTTTGAGATTGTTTCTTCCATAAAACAGCCAAATGGCGCGATGGAAACATGATTTTTTGTCACAATCATGCCATGAATGTATTCGTTACGGTGACTATCATTTGATTAGATTTTCATTAATATTTTATATAACATACACATTTTATCAACACTTAGACAGCTTCTGAAAGGTACAACTTTGAGGAGCCATAAAAAACAAACCAAGTGACCTAAATCTTTATACTTTATAGATTTGTGACCACAACGGCATGGGCAATGCACCACCAACAGGAAATCTGAATCAGAGAAGGGGCCGTTTTGGAAACCGGCCCTTTGCTAAAAATCGGCACAGTGGCCAATATATCGCAGCCTGAAAATATGCTATCTAAAAATCATTATCAAGCGAGCACACAAAAGTTTATCAATAAATGTGGAAACCAATTTGAAACATACACAAGGAACAAGAAGTCCATGGGCTTTAACGGTCACCTGAGATTTTAGAACCAGTCTATCAGTCAGAGCATTTGTACAGACAGAAAAGAACTGATATATGCACACGTACAAAGTTTTTATTGTTTCTAAATTTGAAGGCTTAATTTTCAACTGATAGCACTCTTTGTTGTTGTAGTTTAGCATATTTGACCCCTGTGACCTTGAATAAAGGTCCATTCATTTGAACAAGCATGATAGACCTTCATCCCAGCATGCAACTGGCCCAATATCAGCATCCTTGGCCTTTTGGTTATTGAAAAGAAGTTGTTTAAGGATTTTGACATCTGTGAAAACATGCATAATTAATACTTAATGTGCACAGGTACTTTTTGTGGCATAAAATGGTAAAAGAAAATGCTAAGATAACATGTCAGACCAACGATATAAAGTACAAAACTTGAAAGTATTCCCTTCAAAATTTGTTTTCCTCTCATTTATTGACCTTCTGTTCAATTACAGCCTAATGCATGATCTTGTTTGTTTTCTTGATTCATTGACATCAGACACGTCAACGCTAACTTCCGCTGATACATATGAAAACACATGCTCATTGCTTTTACTTTGTAATATCCAACGTGAAGGAAAATAAAATGAAACCTGCCAATTTCTTGCCAGCTAATTAGATTATAATTGATATATTTTTCAATGTCCCAAACAGCCCACAGTCTCTGCCAAATCATCCAGGTTTTGCATGATATTCACTCGAATAGCTTGCATTACTATATAGAGTAATTATTTTAGTTATTACTTTTCTTCATAAATAAATCCTCTTTTTGTCAGTTTTGAGTACCAGATGATCCTGACAAAGATGGCAGCCTCACAGAATCTTTTATTTTTCCATGATACATAATGTTTGCACCCCAACTTTGGACATTTATTTTCTCAAAAAAATGTGCACATTACATCGGTATTAACATTATTTTTATACAAATGGCCTTGAAAGTGGGTCAAGGTTAATATTATGAACCAAAGTTAGTAGCCCTTTATGCCAGCATACCACACGTCCAATATAAGCACCCTGAGCCTTTTGATTATTGAAAAATTGTTTAAAGACTTCAATACATTTGGCCTCTGTGACCTTGAAATTGGGTCAAGGTCATCCTTTGATACAAACTTGTTTGCCCATCATCCAAGCATGCTACATACCCAATATCAGCATCCTGTGTCTTTTATTTTTATCGAAAAATGATTTTACATTTAAAGATATTTGACACCCGTAACTTTAAAAGAGGATCAAGGTCATTCATTTCAACAAACTTGGTAGCTCTTCATCCCATCAAGCTTCTGGCTCAACATCAGCATCCTGTGTCTTTTGTTTATTGTTAAGTAATTTCAACATATTTGACCTCTGTGACCTTGAAAGTGGGTAAAGGTCATTCTTGATAATGTTGACCTTGACCCACTTTCAAGGTGAAAAGGTCTGTAATGATGGTGAAAAAAGCTGGACTTTAATGATTTTGAGCTGAAAGTTCTATACATACATGCTGCTGGGAGTGAGGTAGATCTTTATATGTCTGGACTATGGACTTGAATTTGATTTCCTGCTCCACAACTTTGCAGATGCCATATAAGGAACACAACATGATCTGAAACCAAGAGAGGCATCATTGAAATCTACACATCACTGAAATCATATGCAAGGAACCTGTAAACCAGCTTTCATTTGCATCCAATTCATTTTAAAATAGCTTTAAAATTCATGAAAAATAACCATCACACATTAATACCGAGATGACAAGAATGTCTGTTTAAAAAAGAATAGCTTGCAAATCATATTTGAAAGTTAAAACTTGCAAATCATATGTGGAAGTTAAAAGAAGTGAAAGTAAATTGGAAAATTGGTCGCCAGTATGAATTTTCTACAGATCTCTTAGTCCAATGAACAAGTAAAAGCTCTTGTCAGGCCCATAACAGCTAGAAATGTATATCAACACCTAACATCACAGAAACAAATGACAGTTACAGATATGATACAAATCTATCATACATTCCCATCTCCTTTGAAATCCGACAGGTGTAATTTTAACAGAATTTAGATATGATTAACAGAGATCAAATTCCTAATACAATCTCTCCAGAGCTATTCAAAGGTGAATAGTCAAAGCAGTTGCCCAGTCAATTTACCTGATCAAGATGTCTGTTCTTGAGAAGATCTGGCTTTCTTGTGATGCAGTATTCAAAACATGCCCATATTTTACGTTGCTGAAATTATGAAAACTAGACTAAAACAAATTTTTGACAACTCAACATGAGGGGCACTCACACAGTGACAGAAGTATCCATTAGATATTGTTATCACATCTGTGGCTGTGTCACTTCACATTAAGGCTTAATTACAAAATTAGTGCAAGATTTAATCAAAGTAGTAAATATTCACATGTATCAAAGCCACAAAGAAATTTCATTTCAATTGAAAATATTGTAAACATACATAAATAATTGTAATCTTATATTAGCACTTTTTGCTCTGATGATTTTGCATTGAAATAGGACAAGGCTAAGTGCAGTTTCTGTTTGTAGATAGCAATTGTTGCCATATGCAAACTGCACTTATTTCTTCAAAATCAATTTTGTATAAAAATTTGATTGCATCAAAATAACAATGTTAACAGTTTCTATTATAGGTGTTTAAACACATAAGGAATTCTTATTCTGAAGGATATGTGAAATTAAGAAATAAACATACAACAATTCAAATCGAAGTTTCTTATTCTTACCAAGTCTCTTGGTACATTTAATAAATTACAAAGCTGTTGTAGCCTGTGAAAACCAAGTCTGGAAACTGAAATGAAGGAAATTATCAGAAAGTTAAATCACTGCCAAAAGAATAGTCACAATTTTTCTTTGAAAAATTTGGGAATAATTAATTTTACTAAATTGGCAAAAAATACTCCATACAACAACAATCTGAATATCATATTTTTCCTTTAATTTCAGACTTAAGCTAATAAAAAATAGACAAATTTTAAAGGCAGGTACAAAAAGAGAAGAAGGTTTTTGAAATCCGAGTCAATTTGACCCCTTTTGACCCTGCCCCTCAGGCCCCTGGATGGGGTGGTGGGGACTGTATAATTCACAATTTTGTTCATCTTAGGCCAGGCAAAGGTTCTGCAAAATTTCATTAAAATCAGATCAGGCGTTTTGAGAAGAAGTAAAAAGTGTTAAATAGTGTTAAATAGTCGGCCAAATAAATTTACATAAAATTTTTCTTTGTGTTTACATATATTTAATGATTTTACAAAATGGGGGGAGGACTAAATTTTAACATATTATCTGGTAGTCTTCAGTATTAACAAATGTCATTTTACTCATGCGATACTAAATTATTAGACACACCTGTGAAATATATTTGTTATTATTGAAGACACTATTAGATATCTCTATTTCATTTCTATCTTCTTTTTTTTTTTAAGAAAATTTTAATGGTTTGATGTTGGATTAATATTTGGTTCAGAACAATTCAGAAGAAAGTTTCATTTGTGTTTATTCAATCAAGACAATTACGTGGATAATCTATTTCAGTTCACTCACCTTTGTTGAGAAAGATTTGAAGGGATTGCGAGCGTCTGGGTGGGGGCTTATCGGGACTGTCTTGTGGTGTTGTTACAGGTGTAGTTCTAAGAACCGCCCCAGCAGTAGAAACAGCTTTTGTCCTCAGGGGCGGGCGCATTGGAGAAAGGTAGCTAAGAAATTGACCAAAAAAATATGACTGCAATCTTAATCATTCCCTAAATAATTGGTTTTGAAGACAAGTCATCTAATGTCAGCACAGTAAGGATTGTCATGTAATGTCAGCACAGTAAGGATAGTCATCTAATGTCAGCACAGTAAGGATTGTCATGTAATGTCAGCACAGTAAGGATAGTCATCTAATGTCAGCACAGCAAGGATAGTCATCTAATGTCAGTACAGTAAGGATTGTCATCTAATGTCAGCACAGTAAGGATAGTCATCTAATGTTAGTACAGTAAGGATAGTCATCTAATGTCAGTACAGTAAGGATAGTCATCTAATGTCAGCACAGTAAGGATTGTCATCTAATGTCAGCACAGCAAGGATAGTCATCTAATGTCAGTACAGTAAGGATTGTCATCTAATGTCAGCACAGCAAGGATAGTCATCTAATGTCAGTACAGTAAGGATAGTCATCTAATGTCAGTACAGTAAGGATTGTCATCTAATGTCAGCACAGCAAGGATAGTCATCTAATGTCAGTACAGCAAGGATAGTCATCTAATGTCAGTACAGTAAGAATTGTCATCTAATGTCAGCACAGTAAGGATTGTCATCTAATGTCAGCACAGTAAGGATAGTCATCTAATGTCAGTACAGTAAGGATTGTCATCTAATGTCAGCACAGTAAGTATTGTCATCTAATGTCAGCACAGTAAGGATAGTCATCTAATGTCAGTACAGTAAGTATTGTCATCTAATGTCAGCACAGTAAGGATAGTCATCTAATGTCAGCACAGTAAGGATTGTCATCTAATGTCAGCACAGTAAGGATAGTCATCTAATGTCAGTACAGTAAGGATAGTCATCTAATGTCAGCACAGTAAGGATAGTCATGTAATGTCAGCACAGTAAGGATAGTCATCTAATGTCAGCACAGTAAGGATTGTCATCTAATGTCAGTACAGTAAGAATTGTCATCTAATGTCAGCACAGTAAGGATAGTCATCTAATGTCAGCACAGTAAGGATTGTCATCTAATGTCAGCACAGTAAGGACTGTCATCTAATGTCAGCACCGTAAGGATTGTCATGTAATGTCAGCACAGTAAGGATAGTCATCTAATGTCAGTACAGTAAGGATAGTCATGTAATGTCAGCACAGTAAGGATAGTCATGTAATGTCAGCACAGTAAGGATAGTCATGTAATGTCAGCACAGTAAGGATAGTCATGTAATGTCAGCACAGTAAGGATAGTCATGTAATGTCAGCACAGTAAGGATTGTCATCTAATGTCAGCACAGTAAGGATAGTCATGTAATGTCAGCACAGTAAGGATTGTCATGTAATGTCAGCACAGTAAGGATAGTCATGTAATGTCAGCACAGTAAGGATTGTCATGTAATGTCAGCACAGTAAGGATAGTCATGTATTGTCAGTAAGAACTGGGAAAAGTTATTAACTAGACGATATCTGTTAGATGTATGTATGAATATCGTGGTTTTGGGAACTTGCAGAGGTTCATCTTTGACCTTTAAACCTTAAATAAAAGGTGTAAACCTCGATGTGACGATACTATGGAGTATTTTATGAAAACATCACCAATGAGTCACAACATGACAGATGGATGGATGAGTAAAGATTGGGGCAACACTCTTTAAACTCTCTGAGTAATCTCATGCAGTTGGCATAAAACTATGCAGATCAAAGTAAGCACACTGACAATGTTTATGGTAGGTGTTAGGTGGTTTCCAGACATTTCAAGGGAGATAAGCATTTTACCAAATTGCACTGCTATCAATATGTCTTACAGATCAGCACTGGACGGAGTTATCTCATGGCTGGAAGCATCAGGGGGAGAGGCAGGGATGCTATCATAGAGTAGATGAAACAGCGGTGAACCCTGCATAGATAACACAATAATAAGCACAGATAATTACAGATCATGAAAGGAAAAATCCAGGTATATCCCCAATCCAAACGCAAAATAATAAAGATTTACAAAATTAACTGACAAATTTTCCAAAGAAAATAAAGTAATCACTATTATCAATTAGTCTGCATGACCATTTTTGAGCATATTGATGGTTTGAGCCAAATGATTATGAAAAATAACCATATCATGTCCTGTTTATCTACTAACCTCTTCCCAAGCAAAGCTTTCCAATATCTTGATTTCAATGGACTGGAGATGCTAAAACATTTAAAAAAAATATTTCTGACACTTTCTGTAAAATAACATTTCAAAACAACAAATGATTTTTCTACATTCACAAAAAATATCTACAAAAGATTATTTTTGCTGTTAATATATGTATTCTTTTTTTAAAAAATTCATAAAAAGATGTCAATATAATTTCTATCCAAATTTGAGTGAAATATTGTTCATGAAGAATGAAGTTTGAAGGGTAGCTAAAAAAAAAATTTTCTAATTGGCTGTGATAAAAGTACTTTGTATTTACATAACATTGTATCATTCACAATATCTGGATGGTAATTTAGTTAGTCAAGGTCCACAAAGGTGTTCTATTCTGAAAATTTTCCACTAGACCAAGAGCTAGTGAACCAATTTTTCTCACTAGCCCTGATCAAAAGTAGAAGCCCCACTTTTGGAATTTTTCAATTTATACTGAATGCTGTTTTTTTACCATAGTTTACTGTTTCCTCCACAGAATTAATTACATGTGTTTTTCAATAAGCAATAAACATGTATAAATGATACTGTCTGTCTAGTTTCTGTGTAATAAGTTGACAATTAACATGAAGCAAATCAATATATGTACATTGTACATGTATACCACAGGTTTAGCGAGTCATCCTGATCTCATTTCCATTGGGAAATCCCTAGTCAACAAAGCATACATTGGATCTGAATTATTACTGATAACATCCATGAAACTGTTATTCCTATATTTCACAAAGGGAAATGTGTAATTGTAAAAAGTTCATTAATAAACTTGCAATATTTGAAGGAGACAAAATGACTGAGAAATAAATATTTCATGAGACAATGTTGTAAACATATATCAAGTAGACATAACTCATGTAACTAAAATATTTCCTATATTATCTGGAAAGCCATGATTTTGGTTTCAATTTCAACAACATGAGGATTTGCTTTATTCATGATTTAGAACCATACCGTATTTTACCTCAAATAAGCCCCCACACCCAGTTCAAAAAAGACTGTCGAAAGAGGGGAGGGCTTATTTGCGGGCAACCCCCCAGTTCACGAGATGTACGTGTGTCCGCCATCTTGGATTTTTCGTCATAAGGAACACTAACTTGGCATATCTGTCATCAAAATAAAATAGGATCAATAATTTTATTAACAATATAACAAAATATACTAAATAGCTAATCCTCCAGCCCGAATCCTCCGAATAGGAGAGTCTCGTCATCGGACTCGTCTGAACCAAATAAGATGCCGTGGGCCCGTGTCGCATCAAGTTCCTGCTGTAGGACCTCATCGATCTCGCAGACGTCCATGCCGACATCCTCACAAAGACGGTGCGACATCCTAGACAGTTACAGGCCACACACCTGCCCAGAATATGTATGACGCACATCATCCGTGTTTGGTCCCCACACACGCGTCACCCTGGCGACTTCTCTCCCCTTGGACTGTAGTTGATACCCGGAGACGGCTCAACCCTCAGCGCGTTCCTCAACGAACCAGTTAAACACGGCGTCATCAATCTTAATGGACCTACGTGCTGGATTAGTGTCAAGCTTCTTCACCTTGGAGTCTGTTCCTTTTCCATGGCCAGGGAGTTTCTCAAAGTCTCTGTCCCACTGTCTGACGAGTTTCCTGTCGACAGAGAATTCTCGTGTTGTCTGATGGCGATTTCGGCCATTGTCCCCGAACCAGTTGACGATGTCCAACATTTCCTTTACTGAGTAACGTCTTCGTGAAGCAGGCATGATGATTTGTGTCTTGGTTGGATTTTTACTCTCTGTTTAACGACACTGACATGGCTTGGGACTCAAAATGTCAAAGTCTTCTCAACAGGTCAAAGCGACACTGTTGTTTTAGCAAGTTTTGAGCGAGGCCCTCTCGCTCAGTCGCTGTGATTGTTAGCTAATTATCACCAGTTTAAATAACAAAAAAGTGGTCACCTGTAAACACTACAAAAACAAACCCTTAATAATTACACCTGGCGATTAAATGTAAGTACTGCTTTATCGTCGCACATGTTTTTTTTTCCAAGAAGGGGGGAGGGGGCTTAATTGCGAATACCCCCCTATTCCTGGCAAATTGGAAAAAGTGGTGGGGGGCTTATTTGCGGTGAAATACGGCATATCAAAAAGTCAGTGACATGTTCACCTACTGTTTCTTCATATTACAATTCTTATCTAATTCATCCCTGAAATTTTATCTACATCTATGACATAACCAAGCATTTGATACACCTAGATGAAGATTTCTTTACATCTGAGAATCTTGATGGACCGATGGAAACCACCTGTGGTTGTAAAATTTTACTACCCTAACCACTGTGTACAGAAACAGATCGGCTTTTAATGCAGATTAAGAGAGGAAAAATTTCACTAACCCATGGGTTAGTCAGTGTCATGGAACAGCTAGCCGTGACCTGAAAATCACTAGTCCCAGGCATTTGGCTAGCGGAATGAAACCCCCCTGGGTCCATTGGCATGAATCGTTGAAATCAGCAAGGCGAGAAAATGTTTTGAAAACACACTCGTCCCTCAGGATGAGCCCAGTACAATAACCTCTTCTCCCGAGACCAAATCCATTTGTCCCATTTATTATGTATGATCATTATAGTAAAAATAACAAAACATGATATCAATTAACATTATTGGTTTCTTTTGTTGATCATGGCAAATTAGTTATCGTATAAACAACCAAGCTGAGCTACATAAGTATAGTGTCATTTTAATCTGTAATCATTCAGTTTATTCATCATCAGATACAACTGCCATTTCAGGTGGCTGATCAACTTCACTTGTTTTTCCTCTCAGATTGTTGATGAGATGATGAAAGATGTCTCCTTGTTTTAGCAGAATGAATTCAAGTGTAGACTGCTTTGTCAGCTTGAAAAGTAGACAAAGTGTCTGACACCAGTTTGATCCTCATTAGATTGTGCAGGGTAACCCGATTCATCTGAGATCTATATGTAGTTTTGAGCTTATTCATCACACTAAAGGCTCTTTCACAGAGTGCAGTGCAAGGTAAGAGTATCATCATAATGTTCACAAGGACTAGAATGGACTTCAAATTGTCTGGATTAAGTGCCAACAAATTAGCATAAGCAATTTGAGGACTTTTTGTTCCCCGTCTCTTTCAATTCTTGCCACTGCTTAGAAGCCTCTGAACATCCCTGCTCACTTAAACATGGAGCAAAGTGCACCAATAGATCAGAAACTTGTTCATTGCCAAATGATCTTAAATCAATCTCAAAGACTGGCCATAAAGTTTGGTCAAAAACTTGAAAACAACTGAAAGGAGGAACCTGCAAAGATCCAAATCTATCACTGATATATTGAATGGCACTGTCAAGGAATTTAGTGACTGTTGCCTGCAAATCTATTCCGGTTTTAGAGACAGCAACTGACTGTCCATATTTTAAAACACCATCTGTGTAATTATGTTCAAACTTACTGAAGTACTTTGATGATGACAGGCCATTTTCTTTTAATTCTGACAATTTCCAACAAGCCAACTCCAACTTCAATTCACAAACAAGTCATCCCTTTGGTAGCTTTCACTGAGATTTTTCAAAACTGCGGTAACATCAAGCATGAAATATAAAAATTTCACAAACTTGTCTGTTTTCGATTCCGTTAACAGACTTCTAGATTTTGCTGCATCTTCTCTAGATCCTTGACCAACATGTTTTAAGTGGTAGAAAGCAGCAGGATAGTGCTTCAAAAGCAATCAAAGACCTGTGCCTACTGGCTAACCAACAGATTTGCTGTACTCCATTGAAATATGCCTTTTGGAGAATAATAGTAATATTTGAAGATATTTTTAACAGTATTGTCAAATTGCTGCAAATAGGGAACTGTCTTTACAGCATCCAGGGGTCGAAATTAACTGTTTTAGGCACTAGCAAACCATTGCTAGTGCCTAAAATTTCCACAAGCAAAAATGATGAACAAACTAGCAATTTTTTGGTGAATAGGTTTGACTTTTATTTACTGTTATATTGAGTTTTTCAGGAACTGAGTGATATTGGAAAAGTTATCCAAGACATTGGATAAGAATGGCTGATTGCTACCTGTATCAACATTTTAAATCTATATAACTTTGAATTTATCAGTTTTCTTTTTTTCATGTATGAGCTACATCTAATCTGACTGTCATATGATCAGATCCATTTATAAATGTAACTGTACCCAAATTTATATTATTTAAAAAATTGTTCACATTAATGATCATTTCAATAAATTATTATCAAGACAACTATCTTCCATGTTCCCGGCAGTCATTGCGCCATACTGTATTAACAACATTGTTACTAGATGATTTGTTGTGTCTAGAATAAAATTCAATTCTTTTTCTCATTTCTGTACCGTTTTTAACGTGGCCGTATATGCACGTTGTTGTGGCGGTGATTTTATATCAGCAGCGTCAGGAGAAACGCTCTCCGATTTCGACGATTTTTTTTCAGAAGGGCCAGGCTGTGGCTGTTGACTATTGTCTTGGTCACCGCAAGCACTGTCAGATGCTTTCCTTTTGAAAAAGTTTGTTATCATAGCTGATATGTCGCGTTTCACATGATGAGCAGACAGAAATCGTAGAGTTTTTCCAAGACAACTTTTTATTCGGCTTACACATAACTATCAAGGGAAAAACTGGAGGAATTCCGAATGTATTGATAATCTATGTCACTTTAACGTTTGTAACCTATTTACTCACTTAAAGGCAGACAAAGAAAGGCATTTTGTGGCAGATGTTTCGTCAAAAATAGTGATTAGGTATAGTTCATTTCCACTCGCAAAATTTTGCTAGTTCATTATTTTCCATTTAGCAATTACCAGATTTTAGCTGGAATTTTGCTAGTTGTATATAGTTAATTTCGAACCCTGACCATCCATAACACTAAGTTTCAAGTTATGTGCAATGCAATGGATTGATAACTTTCTCTGTTAACTTTGTAGCAACACCAAATTGCTTGCCCATCATTACAGCAGCACCGTCAAAAGCAGCTAACAACTTTGTTTTCA